AGGGCCGGGCGGGCCAGGGCTGGGCGGGCTCCCCGCCGCCCCGCCCAAGGCCGCGTGTCGTATATGCCCGGCTTTGGGCATTGTATTGTGTATAGAGGGAAATTGTCGCAGGGGGGCCGGAAATGTTTTGAAATCGTCTTGGCAATGTAAATCCGGGGTGTCCAGCACAGCAGGTAGGCAAGGCGCCTAAGCCCCCCCCCCCCCAAAAAAAAAAAAAAAAAATATATGACCATATCTGCTGGACACTTTCTGGTCTTCTGGGTGATCGCCTATTTTGGGGGGTCAGGTGATTTTGGCGCCTACCTACTGGACACCCCGGATTTACAGTGTATTCAGAAGTGTATTCACTTCATTAACCGTCGTTTAAACATCATTTTTCCAAAGTCTTATACGCCAATCACTGAAACCTTTTTGATGCCGCAAAACTCTACAATCATCGCAACCTGCTTGCGATCAATTGAAATGGCGATACCGCGGGTAATCAAGTTCACTCACCATTTGAGTCGAGACCGGAAGAGTTTGGGTTGTTGGAATTGCGGAAATAATGTGTACGCCAGAAGTGGAAGTTGCGTGCTCCTCTCTGAAGACATTCTTCCTCTTTCATATCTATGTGTGTGGGCTTCTCGGGTGGCGTCGTCGTGTTTGGGCTGGGGCGCCCTCGCGTGGGTGATTCCCAGGTGACGGCTGAGATCCATCTCTCCCTCCCATCCAATCCTCCTCTTGCCACTCGTGTGCAGCCAGCCCGGCCCTGCCCCACACCCCGCCTCACCACGCCCGGCCGCGCCGCGCCCCCCGAGCCAGCCAAGCCGCACCAGAGCCTTTCGCATCATCAATATGCACGGCCCACTTGATCCGCACGTTATTTAGTCCCCAATTGCGAGAGGCCGAGGCCCTTCAGCGACAGCGGCAGCCAGCGGACGCCATATATATGAGGCACGCCTCTGTTGTCGAGTGGCCGGGGCGTGGTGGGGCGTGGAGCGTGGCGGGGTGTGGCGTGGTAGGGGCGGCTGTGTTTGACTGCGCCCCTCATATGCGCGCCGCTGCTGCTGCTTTCTGCTTGTCGCTCGCGCTTCCATCGGAAAAGTAACACCGCGCGCGGCGCAGGCGGGACAGCGGGAATAGTTTCCGCAAACGCTCCGCGCGCGCGCGCGCCAAACAAAACAATAATACACAGAGGCGAATGGCTCGGGGGCGGGGCGGGTGCTGGTGGCAGCTCGCGCATGGCCCCCCATAGCTACGGCAGCAGCAGCAGCAGTTTGGCTTTGCTGTCGCGCGTTCACTTATGGTTTCAGCAAGAGCGCGGGGTGAGTGGTGGTGGTTTAAGGGGGAGGGGGGGCGGGGAGTGAGACAAAGATGGAGATATTGATTGCTCGGTGTGCGTCGGTTGTTGTGTTTTGCCGGGGGTCCGGGGGCTTCGCAGTGCTTCGCGCAGTCAATAGCGACATGCCTCGCTCCACGTAGTTATTGCCGTGGCAATACCTCACGCTCGCCTCTTTTGTTATTGTTGTCGTCGTTTTCTCTCGTGTTTCTTTTTTCTTCATCCCCTTTCTTTGCCTTTTGTTCTTGTTTTCCCTGGAACGAAAAACGCCGTTGCGACAATGCGTGTTTCATCATATGGCTTCTCGATACTTTTTGCGTCGCTGCTGCTGTTGCTTTCGGCCAAGACGCGCGTCGGGGCAGCACAGTGCGTCCGCCGGCTTTTTCACAAGTAAAACTTCTGCCATGCTGTCAGAGTTTCATCCGCGCGCAAGCAGCTTCACCCTGAAGAGGCTCATTAGCTGCTTTCATCAATTTCCAACATGCGCGAAAGAATGGTCGTTTCCGTAACCTTTTCTTTTTTGTTTCTTTTGTTTTTAGGCTTAGTATCTCTGCAGGCAATGGCAACACGCCTAACTCAGGTGAACTAACCCCCCGCCTCTCGACACAAAGCTCAAGGAATAAAAATAAAGCAGCACACTCTCGTTAAAGTGATTACTCAACTTTCGAGTCCTTGCCTTACCCGCTGGTCGTCTTCCTTTGCAGTGCTGCTGCTGCCTGCTTCCCTTACGAAAGTTAGCGCTGTATTTTATTTTCTTGTTTTGGTCCCGCTGCCGTCGGAGGAAGAGTTCATGCCACGAGAAAGACCGTCCGTGCCATCGGTGTCGTCTCCGGTAGCGGAAACCAAACTAGCCACAGGCGGGAGGCG